GGGGCTCAGGGGGCATTACAGGGTTTTGTCCATTTTTTATTTCTGTCCAACAAACATTCATTGACTACTTACTGAGTGTCAGGTTTGGGCATGACCCATAAACCTTCCATTCACAATACATTTAAGGAGAGGCACAACTCTCTAATGGCTTTCCACCATGAGGGTTGTATTATACTTCTGAAAGATTTGAAATTCCTTTTCTTAGGACCCCTTTCATCTTCATTTCCATCTTAGAAAGACTGAAGGACGGGTGCTGCAGAGAACTGCAAACCTTGTTTGAAAGACTCCCCTCCTCCTTTTCCTCAATAAAGTTTACCCTAATAAGTCAAAACCTTTTTATGCTTTATGGCTGAGATCAAGAGAAATATGCCAGAAGGAGAAAGACAAACAATTGATAATCTTACTCATACATGATACATTAAAAAAAAAAGCAAGGGAACATTCAATTTCCTATGGGAAAAAAAACAAGACCCTTCCACTCTGATGACAGATGGGACTAGAGAGATATCGCAGCAGGTAAGGTACTTGTGCCTTGCTCTAGGCTGACCCACACTTAATCCCTGGTACCATGTATAGCCCTCCAAGCTCTGCTGGGAGTGATCCCTGAGCACAGAGGCAGGAGTAACCCTCAGTACTGTTGGATATGCACCTCACCCAGAGACTCCAAAAACAGAAATGAGGTTTGGGTTGGGAGTTGGGAAAGGACGAAACAGAAATGGTCCTACAGTCCTGTAGCCTGTGGGATATTGGTACTTCAGTGATTGGCTTACTGTAGTAACAGTGTACCACTAAAACATAAACAATTAGACACAAAAAGAGTCTGCTTGTGCTCCAGCCTCTTCAAGGGGTAAGAGGACTGTAGAGAGAGATAACTAGAAGTTTCTAAGAAATAACTGCAAATGTACAGGAAACTTTACTGCTGCCTCATCCCTTCTGATTGAAATAAAGAAACCTGCTCTCAAATGGAGTGGAAGGTAGGCATGGGTTAGGGTAAGGGGACAGAGAGTGGGTGGCTGCTATGATGAGCAGGATGGAAGAGATTTCAAAGCATTCCTACATCAAACACAACCTGGCAAGCAGGCCTCTCTGTAGTCACCTCCTGCTGAGAACTCAGCACCAGGACCCAGCAGGGCAAGTGACCCTTGGAAATTTATGGTTTGAATAAGCAATAAAATTAGTAAGACATTTCTTACTTAACCTGTGAGCATCTCAGACACAATCCAGTCACTTACTTGTGTGTATGTGTGTGTGTGTGTATGTGTGTGTGTGTATGTGTGTGTGTGTGTGTGTGTGTGTGTGTGTGTGTGTTTAGGGTCAGGTGTTTAGGTTTAGGCTCAGTGCTTGGGAGGGCAGGGCTGGGGGGTCACCCCTGGAGGTGCTAGGGAGGGTTCATGCAGTACCAGGGTTCGAAGCTGGGCCTTCTTCTTTCATGCCTAACCTGCACTTCAGCCCTCTGAAGTATCTCTCTGGTCCTCAGAATAATCCCATATCCTGGGGCCAGAGGGATAGTATAGAGGGTAGGGCGTTTGCCTTCCACACGACCAACCTGGGTTGGATTTCCAGCATCCCATATGGTCCCCCAGCAGTGCCAGGAATAATACCTGATTGCAGAGCCAGGAGTAACGCCTGAACATTGTTGGGTGTGACCCCAAAAGAACAACATATCCATATCCACATATTTCTACACACACATTCTCTAATAACATTTTCTAATCTTTCCTTAGAAAATAATGGCCCTAGATTCTTCTGTACTAGATTCATGCATGGTATTGCAAAAAATTCCAGTTATTTTTTTTCTTTTTGGGTCACACCCGGTGATGCACAGGAGTTAATCCTGGTTCATGCATTCAGGAATTACTCCTGACGGTGCTTGGGGGACCATATGGAATGCTGGGAATCGAACCTAGGTCGGTTGCGTGCAAGGCAAACGCCCTACCCGCTGTGCTATTGCTCCAGCCCAAAAAAATTCCAGTTCCTTTGACTGAGAATACTATTTTCCATTTCAGTCTAACCTTCCACCTCTCTCACAGTAAGGTCCTCAGAAAATGTTGGTTGAATATGAGTTTGAGATGACCAGAATTCCGACTTGCAATTTAAGCAAGTTGAGAAACTGCACCGAAGGATAAAAGATATTGTGACTCAGGAGACACAAACAATAAAATTAGTAAGACATTTTTCATGTACTCTGTGAGCATCTTAGACACAAACTATTCATTTCTGTGCATATCTTTCTGGTCTGTGTGTGTAGAGGTTGGGAGAGATTGGGAGATTAAAGGTAACAGCAGATGAAGGAAGAGAAAGTAGCTCTTTATATGCAGTTACTAGCAAATTGCTATTGGCTTTGGAAAAATATTTTGTACCTCACCCATCTACACTCACCGACAGTTCTAAACACTAAACAATACAGCACTGCATATGGTCCCATGAGCCCTATTCGGAGTGATCCCTGAGCAGAGTCAGGAGTAAGCCCCAAGCATTGCCAGGTGTGGCCCCAAAACAAAAGCAAAATTAAAATATTATTCTCTTTTAGAAAACTTTTTTCTTTCAGCAAAGGCTTAATCTCCAAAATTTTATTTGAGGGAAATACTGTGTAGAGTTCATGGGTATGACAAAGTCAATACAGGTCTACTGGTGACAGGAAGTCACTTGCTGTCCCAAACACTCAGCAGCAAAATCCTGTTCCTTGCAGACCAAAAAAAAAAAAAAAAGTCATCAGGTCATGTAGACTGCCTGTGTTATTTTTTGCCCCAGAAATCTTAGAGAAAAGGCTCTTAGTTTGACAGGCTTTGGTCATATTCATGGTGGTCACATTAGACATTCTGGGTGGGTTTTCTGTTCTTCATCCTGGGCTGTAGCTGGGAAAAATTCTTCTACAGAGACTCACAAGGCCATCTTCTGTCTTGACCCCCTGAAGCCTCTGGCAAGTGTCATTTGATGAGTATCTTTGGAGGAAGGGTCTCAAATTTTGAGTGACTGTGAGAGTTGGGACAACATGGGAGGGGAATGGGGGCAGAGCAAGTTAACTGCATCAGGTCCCCTGACACCTGGCCGGAACAGCACAGAAGGAAGCACAGGGAGAGATGTGTCCACATGGAGAAAGATAGACTTTCAGTCTTCACTTTCCTCCCTTTCAAAAACTATTTCGGACCTGGCAGCTGATTGGCTGCAGGACAAAACTGAAGCAGCAACATCAAGTATGAAGGGCTATTTTCAGCACAGGATTCTATTTCTTGCCTAACTACTAGAAGTCCAGCAAGGCAGGACCCCCATACCCACAAATAATTTTGTGCTCAAGGTCTCTCCCTCACCCTCCCCTTGGCTCAGCTTCAAGCTCTCCAGCCTCTGCACTTAGGTGGGTTTTGTTTATCCACAAGTTCACATCCCTGTAAGGAATGATCCCCTGGACTGTGGTGGCTCCTATTTTCCAGACTTCCCCAGAGTGGGGTTTTGGGCCAGAGCTCAATCGCTCTTTCCTGACAAGTGGATCAGTGAAACAATAATAAAGCCTTGGCCACCATAACTCAGCGGCTGTAATAGATCAACTTCTCAAGGGCACTTGAATAAGCCAAGAGTAGACTTCTGATTCACACCCTCTTAGGAAACCATCGTCTTTCATTACTGCTGTGTGTAAATAACCTTTATTTATTTAATTTGTTATTTTCCTAGAGACTGGAGAGGGAAACATTAAGAGAAATGCTGGGGTGGGGGTAGGGAGTGGGAAAGTTCATCGATGGAAAGCATGTCTTTGTAACCCTTCCACTCTTCATTTCCTGAGCCAATTGCACTTTTATTTCCCGTCTCTCTACACTAAGTAAACAAACCATATTATCAAGGGAAAGAAGTGAGCCCATTAACATTCTGAGCCCTCAGATTTCACTCGCAAGAGACGACGCAGCACTTATCTGATGGAACTGAAGCCTTAATTGCTCCGAGGTACAAGCTGGTCCAAACCTCTGAGAAGTGCCAGGTGCCTGGGAAGCTGGTGCGCTCTGGAGCCCAGCTCCGGGGAGCATGTGAGCGCCGCCGGGAGCGGGTCCAGCCTCCAGCACAGGAGAGCACCGCGCCCCCAACCCAGGACAGTCTCTATTTTGACAATGCAGCCAGAGCAGAAATCTGCTAACCTTCGCCATCAGGCAGAGGGCCATCTTCCGTCTAATCTAATCCTGACACTCCATAGCACCTTAAACCTGCCGCCTTAGGGAAAGGGAGGGGCGCCGCGGAGGAAGGGGAGGTTGGGAAGAAGGTAGAAACCTGGTTTGAAAAGTGAAGACTTGGGGGTCATCTTAGGTACATCTCACCTTCAGCACTGAACCAAGTCCCAGGAGTCGGAGGGAGGACGAATAAGGGTGGAAATTCTGCATTAGGTCAGATTTAGGAGAGGATAACACGACGTTGAGAAATGCCAAAGCGCACAGAACCCCGACACGAGAGAAGAGGAATAGCTTTAGCTTCCCTGCAGGGACTGGAAACCCACCCGTCTGCCGGGTTTCACGCTCCCTTTTCACCCCTTTGACTCCGCGGCACCCACACTGCGCAGCCCACCCGCCGCTGGGCACGAGCTCGACAGCTCCATCCTCTCGCGCACACTTCAGTGGCCCGTGCGCCTATCCTACCCCGCGCCCCCCACCTTGCCCGATACCTGACCGCGGAGCTGCGTCGTGCGCCCGCCCCGCCCGGGCCGGGTCGCCTCTCGGCGGGGCCGAGGGGGCGCGGGGCGGCGGCCTCCCGCAGCTTTGGCAAAGTTAGCGGCGGGGCAGGCGGCGGAGGCGCGCGTCCGGCCGGCCCCGGGGCCGTGCGGGGAAGGCGCCCATTGGCCGGCCGGGGCCACGTGGCCGCCCCCGCCGCTATATTAGGCCACTATTTCCCTCTAGCGCGCTCGCCATGGCTCGGCGAGGGCAGCTCGGGTGGAGCGGCTAGGCGGCGCGGCGCAGCCCGCGGAGGTCCCGCCCGGCCCCGCACCCCAGCGCGGCCCGGCGCCTTCGGCAGGGTGCTCCGGAGCCATGAGCTCCTACCTGGAGTACGTGTCGTGTGGCGGCGGTGGCGGCGGCGGCGGCGACGTGCTGAGTTTTGCGCCCAAGTTCTGCCGCGCCGACGCCCGCCCGGTGGCCCTGCAGCCCGCGTTCCCCCTGGGCAGCGGTGACGGCGCCTTCGTCAGCTGCCTGCCCCTGCCCGCCGCCCGGCCCGCTCCGTCGCCGCCGGCCGCCCCCGCGCAGCCCCCCGTGCCGCCCCCGGCCGCGCCCCCGTTCGCGCCCTGCAGCCTGGAGGGGGCCTACGAGGCGGGCGCCGCACCTGCTGCGGCCGGGGGCGCCGACTACGGCTTCCTGGGGCCCGGGCCCGCCTTCGACTTCCCGTGCGCGCTCGGGCGGCCGGCCGACGACGGGGGGCCGCACGTCCACTACGCCACCTCGGCCGTCTTCTCGGGCGGTGGCTCCTTCCTGCTCAGCGGCCAGGTGGACTACGCGGCCTTCGGTGAGCCGGGCCCCTTCCCCGCGTGTCTCAAGGAGCCCGCCGACGGCCACGCCGGGGCCTTCCAGACCGCGTCCCCGGCCCCCGGCGCATACCCCAAGTCCGCCTCCCCGACCTCCGGCCTCCCGGCCGCCTTCAGCACGTTCGAGTGGATGAAAGTGAAGAGGAACGCTCCCAAGAAAAGTAAGTACTTGGCCCGTGGACTTGGGCTGCAAGGGGGTTGGGGGGTGCAGGTGGGGGTAGACCAGATTTCCCCCACCGAGTCCTGCCGAGAGCGCACGTCGCGACTTCGGTGTCGGGGTGAAAACTCGTCCCGAGCGCACGTTCGGAAAATGCCAGTGGGTCTGGAGGAAAGCGCGGGAGGTGTTTTCTCCGGACAGCCTTCCTCTTGGCATGACCGGGTGCCCAGGGACCCGGCAGGGTAGCGCCGCAGCTTTAGTCCTCAACCTCAGCCCTACCACGGCTTGCCCGCGACGTGTCTCCACGTCCTCCAGCCCCGCTGACGCCCGACTTTCCGTTGCAGGCAAACTCTCCGAGTATGGAGCGGCTAGCCCCGCCAGCACCATCCGCACGAATTTCAGCACCAAGCAACTGACCGAGCTGGAGAAGGAGTTTCATTTCAACAAGTACTTAACTCGAGCCCGCCGCATCGAGATAGCCAACTCCTTGCAGCTGAATGACACCCAAGTTAAAATCTGGTTCCAGAACCGCAGGATGAAACAGAAGAAAAGGGAACGCGAAGGGCTTCTGCCCACAGCTACCCCTCCGGCTTCTTTCCCGCTCCCCCTCTCAGGAACGAGCCCCGCCAAGTCTGGCAAAAACCCCGGGAGCCCTTCTCAGGCTCAAGAACCTTCCTGAGGTTTAGTCTAGTGGCTGGCTGAGGAACCGTGGCTTGCTGGAGTCCTAGGCCGCCTCACCTCTGTCTAGACTTGCTAGCTCATTTTGAAATAGAGGTGGGCTTGGACAGAGATGCATAGAGCTTTCACTTGGCAAAGGAGGTGTCTTACTCTACTTCTGAGAACCAGGCTGTGGCTGGACAGATATTAATTTGTGATCTCCTAAGCCACTCATTTGTATAGTATTTGTGTCTGATCAGGGAAAAGTTCCCCGCTGCCAGCCCAACCCTGCTGCTATGTTGCCTAACTTAGTTGTATACAGTTCTTGGGTGTCAAGTGGCAGAGTTACTGCACTCTGCCAACTCCCTGATCTACTCAAGAGGAGCCTCTACCCAAAGTTGTCCTGGTTTTAGTTCAAAAGACAAGGTTACATGTATTCAGCTTCTTGAGATGACCAAAGCTAGTTAGGGCCTCCTTGATGTAGCTGAGCTGCTTCAATGATGATCTTCGTATTTGCACTCCAATTTTTGTTTCTTTAAAAAGCAGTTTCTACCTCTCCATGTGCCTGAGTGAAGCTACAATCGCTGTTTAGTTAGTAGTCGTACAAATCCACAGGGTGGGTAAAGATTAAAACCTGAACTACGCCTTGATGCCAGTTACTCAAACTTGAATGTAAATATATATATATACATATATATATATATATATATATATACAGTATGTATATTTTTAAAAGGCTTGCTTGCAGTGAATTTATGTATGGCATTTAATGTCATAGCATGTAAAGGGTTTGAACTTTTTTCCTTTTGTAATAAAAAAGAAGGGGCCACTCTTTTCCTTACCCTCCTTTCATTTTAGCCATCTTCACAGCTGATTCAGTTTCTTCTACTACAGTTTCTTCTACAGAATAAATCTTGATTCTGTTGTGTGAATTTGCTTAGGTTGATTACAAAAAAATAGGTTTTGTATACAAACCAGTTAGAAACAATTATGTGGACAACTTAAGGAAGGAAACAAACCTACTCTGCCCACATTTCCAGATAACTGAGGAAGCATGCCTTCACATAAGGGTGCGAACTTGATGGTGAATATGTAGAAGACTTGCAGAGAGGTCCTCTTGTTCTTCTTGTCTCTTGTTTTCAGAAAGGAGGAGGAAAGGCATCCAAAGACTTTGTTACTAAATCCATTCTCTGAGAAAGGAAGTTAGTTGCACATCAAAAGTTCCCAGGAGCTAAATTCCCATTTCCAAAGTTAAGAATTACAAAGGGGCTTAGAGAGGCCTGAGCTCTCCACTTCTTGTAACTCAGACTCTGTATCTGGCCTTGCAAGAGATAGCACAGAGGAGCCTCTCTGTTTTTAAATGATAAAATTCCAAGTGAAATTTTTGCAAGAAGTACAAACACAACATTTTTAAGTTGGCTTAAGGGTATATGATCTCTCTCTCTCTCACAAACACAAACACACACACTCATTTCTACCCAACTCTCAGCACCCAACACCCATAATTGATCAGGCTTGTTTATAATCTCAGTAATATCACTAGAAAAAAAATGTAATGTTAATACACAATGTATATACTTAGGACAGTTGTCAGGACAAATTTTTTTCCTCTATTTAAATACTCTATAACAGGAAGACTTTAGGTCAAAATAATCCAGATAAGGACTTTAGCTTCCTTTTTAGCTAGATTTCTAGATTCTCAAATAGTTCTTTACATTAGAACTTTAGAGATCTAACAACGATGAAAGAGTTTTCCCTGTAAAATAGTAATGCAGTTAATTGTAAATTGAAATTACAATTGAATTCCTGTTCCTTATGGTCACCATTGAATATAACTGGGGGAAAAACAGAAGACCAGTTCTACCAAACTCAGCTGGTTTGTGGGAGGAAGATACCACTTAAAAAGCAGGTCTGTCAATATTATTCTTACTTTACCTGTCCATCACTAACTTGATGCTAATCAGGTCTTATTTGAAACAACAGCCCCCTCAGAGCTCTGTATCTATTAAAAGGACTTGCTAAGGAACCTGTGATATGCTAGCTATCAGCCACCCACAGATTTCCTCTGCAGTGGTCTTTGCTAAGACTACATTTCTTCTCTGATAGTCATTAAAATGTTGCTTAAAACACCTAAGCAACAACAAAAATACCAGCAAGTGTGGCCATTTCCACAGTCTGCTTTCCTTTTTTCCCCCTGAAAAATAGAGCTTTTCCTTTGAAGTTACGATTACCACTTAATAACCCCCATGGATGTCTTTCCTGATGAAGGTGGCTATTTTGACATATGTAAAACAATGTTCTATGAATCGAGCCAATATTAGCTATTTTTTGACCAACCCTAGGGATCTTTAAAAGCTTTCTTAATGCAGATCGCTATACAGCTATATTCAGTATTAGGGAAAGTCCTGACTGGGGATTGGGACAAAGTAGGTGACCTCTGGAGGTCTCTTCCAGCAATGAAAATGCTACAGAAACACATCAGTGGCTTTTGCATATTTCATTTTAGTTCTGTCATGGGAAGAAAGAGTTTAGTTCTAAGAAACCAATTGTAGTTCCTGGGATTGCAATATTCTATGTTTATACTGGAGAAGTGTGTTTCACATATTAAATACATCTGGTGGGTAGAGGTGCCTAACCCTTGTGGATCATTTATGGAACATTCTTACCATTATTCAGAACTCTGTGTTGGTTTGACTAAGATCTTTCATGAATCAAGATGGTCACTATGCAAACTGCAACTGCTAAGACAATCCCATTTCTATTTCTAAGCTAATTATGCTAATTTACCTTTTTGTCAGCCCTTGAAAGAATGAATATACAGAATAAATACAATAGTTCTGACTGTTTAATAAACTATTCAATGTTCCTTTGTCTTCACAGAATGACTATGTGTCTATTTTCCTGGATTCAGGATAGTAGAGTGAGAAAGAAATAAAGCATTTAATAACATGAAATATCCAGTTAAGAATGAGCAAATATAAGATTTGCTGAGTAAAGACCCAAAGCAATATCACCTAGATTCTCCAAAAATTAATTGTGTGTGATTTACTCTGCCTCAATTTTAATGTCTGGTGAGGCTTGATGCCAGAAGAGGTTATGTCCGTTCATCATGCCTTCAGAACAGGCTCTGGAGAGTTGCATTAGCTCTAAGTTCTTAATTATTTCTTATGGCCAAACAAATGCTCTCTACTCTCTACTGGCCGAATATTGGATTTATAAACCTCAGGTCCTAATCAGGTTCAGAGAGATGTTGCATCTGACCACAGACCTCTTAAAAAATACACATTGTTAAAACTTTATTTGTGGTTTTAAAGTGAAACCATGCTGGACATATCTCACAAATAATGATAAATCTCCATCTAAAAAGAAATCAGGATTTTCTTAGTTTTGAACTATGTTTTAAATATTTCTGGGGTGTAAACAAATCTAAAATATTATTTTAATGTCTTATATACCATCACGGCGAGCTACCGTATATTATTTCTGAAGTTATACTTATTACTTCTTCTTCTTATTATTACACAAGAAAATCACTTAAATACAAACTAAATCCAATAGCAAACCAAGAAGGGAAAAATATCTTAACCCCGGTATGAAAGGAAGATCTTTCACTTAAATTGATTGTAAAGATTTAAATACTTCTACTTCTACTTCTAATAATCTTATTGATGTTATTTGGAAAGAAGAGCCCAAAGGAGTCATTCGAACTTAGATGCTTTCTTCCTTTCACCTACTCCTACCTTTTTATTGAATCACTGTGAGAGACACAGTTACAAAGTTGTTCAAGATTGGATTTCAGTCATATAATGTTCCAACATCTATCCTTTTACCAGTGTACATTTTCCACCACCAATGTCCCCAGTTTCCCTATTGCTTCCACCAGTCTGCCTCTAGAACAAATCTTCTTCTTCTTCTTCTTCTTCTTCTTCTTCTTCTTCTTCTTCTTCTTCTTCTTCTTCTTCTTCTTCTTCTTCTTCTTCTTCTTCTTCTTCTTTTCTCTCTCTCTCCTTTTCTCTCCCCCCTCTTTCTCTCCCTCCCTCTCTCTCTGTCTGTCTCTTCCTTTTAGGCATTGTGGTTTGCAATACAGGTACTGAAAGGTTATCATGTATATCACTTTACCTCCTTTTAGCACTCAGTTCTTGTTCAGAGTGATCTTTTCCAACTGTTATTGTCACAATGGTCTATTATCTATTCTAACTGCACCCACCCCCACCCCACCCCCATTTGTTACAAGCTTCCAACCATGGATCAGTCCTTGTTTCTACTGTCTTTGGGTTCTAGTCTCATACTATGTTTTGTTTGTTTATTTGTTTGTTTGCTTGTCAAATCAGGAGACACTCAGGACTTACTCCTGGTGGTGTTCTGGGGACCATATGGGATGCCAGGGATGGAACCAAAATCAACAGCATGAAAGACAAACACCCTACCTGCTGAACTATTACTCCAGCCCCATACTACGTTTTTTATGTCCGGCAAGTCAGTGAACAAGTATAATCATTCTATGTTTGTCCTTATCCCGTAACTCATTTCACTCAGCATGATACTCTTCATGTCCATTATATGTAAGCAAATTTCATGATTTCATTTGTCCTAACAGCCACATAGTATTCCATTGTAGATTTACCATGGTTTCTTTTCCAGTCATCTGATCCTGGGCACTCAGGTGTTTTCCAGATTCTGGCTATTGTGAATAGTGCTACAATGAACATAGAAGTGCAGACAAATGCCTTACCTGCTGCTGTTCTATTTCTATAGTCCTTAATAGTGAAATAACTTCTTTAATTTAACTGAGATTTCAAAGTAAAATCTCTGTTCATTGAAGAAAAGAGATAATGAATTAACAACTCATTTCTCCTTTCCATGAATCAAAAGCTCTGACCACTTTTTCTTCAAAATGTCTCTTACCTTTCCCCCTTTTCCACTGGTTCAGGGTTTATCACATATCAGCGATGAAATTAAAAGATGCTTTCTTGGTCTTTCTTTAGTCTCCTTCTGAATCAATTTATTTTAAAGCACTGACAT